GGGGAGGGACAATAAAAAAAAATATACAATAAGATTCAATAAATTTTCCTTTTCAATTATCAGGTTCTGTATCTCTCTCTTATGAATACCCAGCGTGTTTTTCATTGAATTATCATTGTTAATTGCCACATAACAACAGTTTGGCGCTAGAGGAAGGGCGGCTCATCACAGTTTTGAGGTTAACCTTCGCTGTTATAACTACATATACGCTCGAATTCGCCATGTCGCAATCTGGTCGGGACCATACTTCCCATGCTGGTCAGAGCCAATCTACCAACCGTTCCCCGGGACGATCAACACCACCTCCTCCGGTCACGAATATCACGAACTTCCTTCAAAACCCGGAGTTTATTCAAGGTCTAATCTCTCTTATAGCTCGAGCCATGCCTAGACTCTCGAGTACTATACCTGTATCAACGCCGCTTCCCACGAATCCAACGGAACACCCAAATCTTACTCATCTTAACCCTGAAACACATGCGGCGATATCACATGCTATGTCACAGCCACACCATACTTCTCCACGTCAAGAGGAGTTAACTCGTATAACTGCTAATCCAGTAACGAACAACCAGGTCGCGGAGGAACCTCCTGTTCAAGAAATAACTGCTGAGAGTCATTCTGCTCGTCGTCAAAGAATTCCGTCACGACCCAGACCTATCTCACTGGTACCTCGTGACCGTGAAGATTTACGGCGCCAGATTGAACGGAATCGCATATCAAGACATAGTGCTGAAGAAATCGAGGTTCTCCGTAAAAGATTGGCTGAAATTGAAACTCGACAGAAGTCGCAAGAAGATTCTCCCCGACGTCGGGGAATGTTATTATTGAAGCTGACTCGCCTTTAGCTCCAGAGCTTACTGCGGAGGCGCTCCCTGCCAAGGTAAAAATCCCACAAATCGGTATGTATGATGGGACCTCGGATCCAGACGCGCACTTGGGTCATTATACATCATGGATGGACTTGCACGGAGCCTCGGACGCTTTGAGATGTCGGATGTTTTCGCTCACACTGGGGCCGCGGGCGCAAAAGTGGTACTACACACTTTTACCTCATTCAATTTGGAAGTGGCAACAGTTACGTGCAACTTTCCGATCACACTTTATCGGAGCTTAAGTTTGCCTTATCCCAAAAGAATCGATCACTAATATCGTCCAAAAGAATGACGAAACCGTAAAGGATTACGTATCTCGATTTAACGACCGAATTCAGAACATGGAACCTTGTCATCCTGAGACCCTACTAGTGACTGCAATTGCTGGGTTAAAGCCCAATTCGATGTTTCGATGGACCTTATGTCAGAACAAGCCGGCTACCGTTCAAGAATTCCTCGTACAAGCTCAACAATTCATTATCGCCAAGGAGTCGATGTCGGTCCCTAGTTTTGACTTATCGGTAAAGGAGAATAAGAATGAATCAGATACGAAAAAGAAGAATAAGAAGAATTTTGGGAAAGCGCAATATCGGAATTATTCGAAAGGATACGAAAATACTCCGGAATCCAGAGCTGCCCAAGACCAATATGCTGACAACGTGAGGACAGGCTATCAAACTGTTTATTCGGCCGGAGCAGCTACCATTTTTGAAGAACTGAAAAGAAAGGGAATTATTCCTGATCCAAAACCAATACGAACTTCTGAAGACAAGCTGGACAAATCTCGATATTGTGCGTACCATAAATCTCCGGGACACAATACCGATGAATGCCTTGGCCTCTTATCGGCCCTTTTACGTTTGATTGGTCAGCCTCAACTTCAAAAGTTCAGAAATTTTGACAATCGCCGAAAAGGAAGGCCCGTGGATCTTTCTGACGAGGAAGAAGATGATACTCGACCTGCTAACCCGAAAAGAGACCGTGCGAACGATAAGGAAGTTTTTACGTTTTCTACTCTTGTCGGTACTTCGACTGATAACTGCAAAAATTCCAAAACACATGACGCATCAAACTCTTCACACTGCATACCTCGAGTTAACTCTAATACCAAACAGTTGGACACTTCTCGGCGGAAAGCTAAAGCCTATGCCAGGGAAGCCCAAAATGCCGAGAAACGAGTTATGAATGTTGACCTTCGAGATACCATTAATAAACGAAATTGTCCCATCACATTCAGTATTGAAGACGCCAATCTGTTTGCTCATCCTCATTCTGATGCCCTTATCATTACTGCTCCGATTGGGGGAATTCCCGTTCATCGAATTATGGTTGATACAGGAGCTTATTCAAGTATCCTAATGTTCCGCACCTTCAAGAAACTGGGTTTGGACCCTGTAGATATCAGACCTTGCAACGACCAAATTCAAGGCTTCAATGGAAGTATTTCTTGTCCTATCAGTGAAATATTACTCCCCATACGATTTGGTGGCTTTGGACCAAAATCCAAGATCATTATGGAAACCTTCAAAGTCTTGGATGTTCAAAATGAGTACAATGGTGTTGTAGGGCAAACTGCTCTTTACAAACTCCGTGCTGCTGTGTCAGTTTTTCACTATGCCTTGAAGTTCCCCACCATTGAAGGAGAAGGCACTCACTATGGAGATCAACGAGAAGCGCGAAGTCTGACGCTGCTCTCAACTTCACGTAACTTTCATGTGTGCGAAGTACAGGAGACTGATAATTCTATTGAGTTGAAAGATCCAATCCTTCCTGATGCCACAATGACGGA